CTGAAAAGAGAAGTTGAGACATTTCCACGAATCCGCGCTGAAAATGGGAACAAATGAAAAAGATGAGGGCAATAACATCACTTGCGAACCTCAAAATTCAAAATTTCTTATTTTTGTCGAAACTTATCGGTATACAGGGAAGGGACCCAAAAAAAGACATTTTGCCTAGGTCACAATCAGGCCCTTTTTTATTCGCAGAAATGGCCGTCTTTGACAGAAGTTCCTCAGCAAAGCATTCCGTAAATGTCCCTCTATAAGTAGACGCAGGCTCTCCTTCACTGCCCTCACCGTCTTCAGAATATGACGTCATCTGTCATCGTCGTCAAGCTCAAGGAGGCCTACCGTAACTGCTTCAGCCTGAAGCTCTTACATAATTTCGTGAATCGATTCAATGTTGGATAGTTTTCTAGAGACATTAGCTCTCCACTATACACCCCTCAAAACTCGGCTTTTAGTAAAGTTCGTTATGCTACACGATATTTCAAAGACCCCATTGAGCTCGACCAGTGCACCATGGAGAATTTTTTTGATACCGTCCACATAGGCGGCCACTATGAAGATTTTCTTATAAAATGAAAAGTGCTCTCCAATACTTAGTTGAGACCATTCGGTTTGAATCGAGCAGAGTGTGATTGAATCCATCTCAATGCGGAGGCGAAGGCTTTTTCTTATGGCTCACCCCTCCCGGAGTGACTCAGCCTCTAACGGCCCATGGCATTCATTTTTAGCATTGGTTCCCTTCGTCGCAGGTGGTCGACAATTTGAGGTTACACCAAATATGGGGAAGAGTGGAAGCGATGTAGCGCCGAAAAGCTTAGCCGGTGGACGGGATTCCCATAAAAAATTAAATTTGGGATGTGCGTAGTAAAATAGTGTCTAGTAAGAAAATAAACAAACCAAGGAAAAGGAAGAAGTCGCTAGAAAAGTTAGCGATACGCTTCACCCAGACAAGTAGAAAGGAGCCGAGATCGTTGAGAATGACTAGCATGATAGGAATACCAAACATTGAATATATAATTGTTGCCACCTTACCAGCTGTCGTGGAACATGCGATGTTACCGTAACCTGAAGCAACTTTTCAACTTTTCAATTTCACACCGTACACATTTTGTGAAAAGGTTTCATTAAAACAAAGAAATAATCTTGGAGGTCAAGGTGCTCAATTCGTCATCGAATCAAGGCAAGCCCTGGAATCAGTCTGACTTGTAGGAAAGATTACCGCTAGAGAATGTGGGGTCCCTACCAACATCTATATGCCAGCTTCTTCGCACATTTTTTTTCGATTATGACGCTATTCTTACGGACCTGCCAACCATCGCCCACATCATCACGCGTTACCACACACGATTTGATTGCTGATCGCTGCTCTCCCAAAGTGTGTACTCGCTCTCGCGTGTTTTGTCTACTTTAATCACCCTGTCTCGCCGTCACACCATATTCGACCTAACTGAAGAATAACGCCCTAATTTCAGCGTCCGATGATTTCTCTTGCTTTCCTATCCAATTTCAGTTCATTCCGTAGCTCAGTCGTCACTATGCGCCTATGCAAGTGTTCATAGACCGGCTAGCCTTTAAGAAGAAGAAAGGAACATTATCGGAAACAACGTGCAAGTTGTTGTTATCATGCCGTGCCATGACATAGGAGAAAATCCATCCCAAAAATTCCAAAGCGCTTTCAATGCGAAGGTTCGCCGGAGTGGACATACTTCACGAGCATTTACTTCTTCTTCATTTCATGCAGCACGATAGGTGGAAAATACTTGGATTACTGCTCTGTTTTCGACCGAATGTCGTCGTTTTGAGGTCTCGGCGATGTGACGCCCGCACATCCAGAGTATATGATTGCCACATTCGGAGTGGTGATGGTCGGGCTTTCGCTGGTATCCGTCTGCATAGATGTGGTTAAAGAGAAGCTTGAACTCATGTACATGGCACTGCTCAAGAAGATGTTGCAGGTGGGCTACTTTGTCGATCGGTTCTATCATCCAATTTTCGAATTTGTTGAGTTCAGAATATCTCCCTTTTTGGGTATCCGCGCTTCTTAACACATTCACGCCGATGGCCGCCCATATGGGCTGCCAACAACATGCGCTCCTGGGACGATGGCAGCCCATATGGGCTGCCAACTGATAATCGCTTGCCAGGCGCTAGGAATGGACAGATAGGTGGGCAAACCTCGTAATCGAGTGTAAAATGCTTTTAAATTCCTTCACGGGGAAAGTGAATAAATGCTCTCTTTTCGTAACCACTATTTGTCGTTCTGATCGAAATCCTACTGTTATATGTTTAGATAATCTTTACGCATTGGACATTGCAGAAATTATTTTGTGACATTCATGTTTTTGTTCATTTACAAAACAAAATCTGCGGTTATGTGGTGAGGCGGCGGCGCCCACAAAATCGCGTCCGTCCCACGCGACCGAAAAGTGGAAAAGGGGCGTCGTCGTGAATGTGTTAATATGATGTAAAGCTTCAATCCCAATCTTCAATCAGATCTCCAATTGTGTTCGGTGGCGAGGAATAGAATCTAGAACATTAATCGGATTGTATTGCCAAATGGCAGAAGTTGCTCCATTTTAGGATTACATGGAAGCAGTCAAAAATGGAGATCCGAACGCCGCGGCTGAGATGATGGCTGGATTCCAAGGAAGAGCGAAATATCTTATGCCACTGATAAGGTCATATTTGCACATGTTGCTTTTCATATGTTCTGTTTAGTGGGATGGATTTTAATCCTCTGAACACTTTCTCCTCTTTTGTGTTCCAATCAGCTACAATTCTTTTATCAAGTATAACGAAAAGGAGGTGAATGACTCATTTCAGCAAAGGGCAGGGAGCAAGAGTTATGTCTCGTTTCAAAGAAGACTGCTCTGCCAAGGTAAGTTCTTTTTGATAGTTTTTCAATAGAAACATTCATGAGAAAATATTCTCGAACGGAATAAGTTATTCGTTTGTTTCGCACTCTCAAGAAGCCATTGTCAGCGGTTGTCATAAGAAGGGGCACTCATTAGTCACATCTGATTGGGAATAAAAATAATGGGTGCAAAGCAATCACGAAGTCGCAATGCGTGCCCACTATGACGATCTTGCATGAGAACCCTCGCGTTTCTTATGCAAATTAAGCTCAACGAAACAATGAGCATGACTTTTTAGCTTCTGTTTGTCCTTAACACATTGGCGACAATGTCGCCCGATGCCGGGCGACACCCCTTGAATTTTATTCCTTTGCGCATATTCCAAATTTTGAGCGGTGCTATATTAACCCGGAATACGTTGTCAAACTTGTAATGGCCACGTTCTTTGAACATCTTTCACAGTGAAAGTTTTACAGAAGGGTTGCTTGGAATTGCTTCTTCAGTGATAAGGTTGTTCTTTCTTGATGTAGAAAGCTGCCTTTTTGTATGCTATTAGCTAGCTCAATGATACAACAATTGGCAAAAAAGAGATTTGTGTTCAACCTCATTTGTGGATTCTACAGTGGAAAATTGGAATTTTCCGAGAGCGTTCCGAAGTTTCACCTTTGCGGGACGGGGAGATTTTTGCTTGGTTTGCAGCCATTAAGCATTTGTACGAGACAAATGATGTTTCAGCAGTTTCCGCATTGTGTTCTCATTGATTTGGTATGTACACCGTATGGAAGCGTTTCAGCATTAGGACGCAATTTTCGGGAACACCCAAAAACTGCTTGGTCGCCAATGTGTTAATAGTCCAATGCCATATTCATGAGGGAACCTTGCCATTCCTTTTCTACGCTAATATGGAAAAACGTTAGTAATATACGGATAGCGGGCTGTCCGTTCGATAGAGTCATTCAATTGTGTAGAACCCCCTCTTGACCTGCTCACATGCTCAAAAGTGTTATTTGTTAGAAGATCTATAACGAAGAATAGAGGAAGCGATAGCGAAGAGGGAAGCATATGCACCACACGAAACAGTTACTTGGCTGCCAGGGAAGCGAGATGTGGCGCTTTCACAACGAAAGGTGCGCTGGTTGCTGAGCAGGACTTCGAAAGCGCTCCGCCCACTAGTTTACTTGTTGATTTGGACGAGCTGCGTTGCCAGCAGCGGCACAACTGGAGCATCTCGATTGAAGCGTGGTTTGGCATGGTGCCATCCAAACGCGTTGCGGTGAACTCGTTCATACGTCCGCTTTCTGAGCTGTTACCTGTTCATGAGTGAAAACCAACGGCCAAAAAAGGGGTCCCGTTTTGCGTTTTCTTGACGGATTTTTCTGCTTTTTTCGCCACTGGCGTACCATTGAGCACCACCACGTCACACTAACCCTTCTTGAATTTATCGTAATCGCTGCCTTTAAGTAGGAAAATGGGAGCAGTTTGTATTCTACGGTTATTCTGCTGAAGCCATTCGAATGAAAAGAAGTATCTAGACATCTGGCAAGTGGAAAGTCTACGCAGCTTGATACGTGCAAACCACCTCCACTGTTTAACAAGGAGACCGAATTTTTCCAATCTTTCTGACAGAAATTCAACGTCATTCATGGAGTAAAATTCTTGCCACCAAATAAATGACGTCAAAGGCTTATTAGATGAATGGAAAATCTATAGAAGATGCCCTCTCAACCTAAACTGCTGCTAATTTTTCAGGGGTCCTGAACAAGATTATCCCAGGGCAGCAGGCTTATTACCCCATTCGCAGGTTCGAGCGCTTTTACGTCTAGGGCGACGCCCTCTGTCTAGCGCACATTATTTTCATTACATCATGCGGTGAGAAACAACTTCACAGAATATGAGTATCTTCACCGAATTTTATGCTCAACGGACGGTCTATGTTCTATGCTCTTTGCTTCTGAACTTACTTAATGCTTTTTCAAAGGGCATTGAACCGCCGGCGGTCTTGGTCGACCTGGATCCAAATACAGGGATGCCTGCGTTTGCAACGGCTGCTAAAGAAGGATTTTAACGACTATATCGAGCAAGTAAGTAGGATCACGATGTTATTAGGTTCCCAGTTCAGGTAGGAAAGGATCCCAAAATTGCCAATCTTTCCAGGCTGTAGAAAAAAAGGCTGACGAGGAGAAGAAAGAGCTAATGAGATACACGCAGCTCCTTGAGCAGAGTGCGGTCAGTTTCAGTTCTAATTCCAATGAGGGATTCCAGATGTGTGAATAATATCTACTTCCAAAAGGAGGGCATACTTTTGCAGACGGTAGCCGTTCCGATGGCGTGCTCACTGCTGCACGGTGGGCATGCTCCTTGCTTTTCCAGGTCATCAATAACTTACGGCTGGCTACCACCTACTGATGGATTCACAGTGCAACAAATTTGAAATTGGGAGAAGAGCGCCTCTCTCTGGGGAAAACTGCAAGTATCGCCGGCCGATTATCCTCTTGAGCTTCCAGTCTAGGAGCATGCTGTTTGCGTGACCTTATAAGAACATCGTCGGCCTTTCCCAGATGATCCTAAACAGTAATGTTTATTGCGTGATGCTGAAGGAAATGGTGAGAAAATTGACCAAGAAAACCGATTGTTATAGAAGGCAGCGCAAAAAATTGCTTCACCCACTGAATATTGATGGATCAGTTGATCAGGAGAAAGTAGAACTCAACAAAATTTATAGAAAAGCACTTTTGAAGAGATATTCGGACAGACATCAGAATTTAGGTGTGGCGAGGATAACATCACTGATATAGTGTGCCATTCAAGATTCCTTGCGTCCTCTGTTTTCACAATGGCCATTAGCCTTGCACCGTTCACTTCCTTCTGCCATCTCAGCAAGAAGCTCCTCGATGAACATGCAGAACTTCGGGCCATTGTAGGTTATACTACTGATAACTTCTGAGGGATCAGGCGGCTAGTATCATCAGGCGGTCTAGAACGGATGACAGTAGAACAATGACACCCTTCGTTCTTTTTGAGCAATCTTAGGCTTCTCGCAGGTGGAGGTTAGCTGGCTTCCGTCAACGGAAATGCCCTTCTCCTCTTACTTCAATGAGTGTACCGAAAATTCGAAAACATAGGCCTGCTTGATAGCAATCGTTGGAGAGCGGATAGGCGGTCGAGCTCGTACTGCCACCTCTTCATCGTGATTTTCAGTCTCAACAGGGCGTTGAAGATAGCACGGCTGAAATGGCGCCACTCTCATCCAGTCCGCTTCTTTATCAAAATCAAGTGCCTTATGGTTGTCGTTCAGCGATCGCTTCAAGGTTCTGTAGCATATAGGAAGTCAATAAATAATGCAGTCGCAATCAAAGGGATGGTGTACATCGTCTGTGGGCACTGGCGAATTTCCTTGCTGTAATCTCATTGAAATTGGCAGCATGAGTAGCCTCACGAGCCGTGACTTCTGTGAGCTTGGTGATTATCTTCAATTGCGCCACGATGCTCGTCGGCATCACAATCGTCTCACAAGTGCGGCATTTCCATCATTGCTCATGCCCGCTGAAGTCGACTTGATGGAAGCGCATGCCTTATGGAAAACGCTAATTCGTTTGAAAACTGGCGCAATGCGCACATTCGTGGCAATTTTTGAGGCAGGCCGCATGCTACACACATATGTGAAAATAAACATAAATAATTAAACAAATATGTCGGGGGTGAGGGGAAAAAATGGTCATGAGAGACCAATGTGGCTGAAATGGCACAAGGGGATAATACGAATGCATCGAAGGTTCCCGACTTGCACGCGATCCTCGAGCAAAGATGCTCCAAGGCCACGCGCGGGAGGTGCTGCGATGCATCTCAGTCCTGGCTGAGCGTCGACTGTGAAAGAGCGCGAACCTTTGATTGTCTGCCGCCTTCAAATCGCTCGCTGTAGTCATACGCAGTCTAGCAGCAATCACGTCAAACGCTCGCCTCTGTCTGTCGCCGCGTCGCCCATCAAGAACTTCTGTTCTTTTCATGACGCTTATAAGTCATGCGGAACTCGCATGATTCCAAATAATTCTCACCTCGCTTACCCTAAATATAGCATTCACACTTCTTCGTATTAACGATCAGTAGCCAGGCTTTCCCCACTTTCCTCTTCAGCAACAGTAGTATCAGAAGTTCACCCAACTTGAGTAGTGGTTCACCTTGTATCATAGTGGATTTTTTTGTAGTTCCATAGTCGTTTCCTTAGCCATTTTCACAGGAATCCTTTTGCAGTTTTATTGGCTTTATCGTAATCTTGGTCTACATGAAGCTCTGTAAGTACAATGTTTTGTCCCATCAATGAAACATACGCGTACGCTATGCCACGCTTTCCACATTCGCCGCATTCAGCCTTGTCGATCAGGTAACTATTCGCATCTTCTCGGTTCACTAGGAGATCGACATCCCGCCAACACCAGGAATCCTACGCACGCGCAAGCACAAAAAGTAATTGTTGGGGTGAGGGATTAGTGAGCAAACAGAAAACAACATTACATCAGAGTCAGCTTTTTCTTTGTTGCGCGAACAAAGTCGTGGGGGCTAATGAGAAAACGGAGCTTCGATGCTACTGGTGGGTGAAGCGCGCACCGCGGTGGGCGAAATTAGCCACTGAATTTATTATTCGTCCCCAAGAACCTCCAGGGAGAAAAAGGAAAATCGTGTCCAAAAGGGGATGGAAGAAAACAGCTGTTGCTGGGGGAGGGGGTGCATCAAACTGGGTAGAGTTTTGTCATCAAACTTGCGACTCGGTCCAAAAAGTCCCGAATTCCGGGAAGGTAAACGTTGCTGGTGGGCGTGCTGTGCGCCAGTGTGGCGGAGTGTGCCACGAAAGATTTTAACTCGGTTCCAAAAGAGTCTCGGAAAAAGGGAAAAAACTGAAAGAGGTTAGCGAGAAGAGAAGTTTGTTGGTGGGTGGGGCGTGCGCCGAAGATACGGCAAGTGAGCCTACCACCGATTATTGAGATACGGAGCATACTAAGTTAAGCACGAATACGAGACGCAATGGGCTGCATGAATGTTGGTTGGTGATAGTTTCTACTATGCTGGTCTCATCTACAATACAAAGGCAAAGATCCTTAGTGATCGGAGTTCTTTTGCATTCTTGCTCTCTATAAATTTGAGAACCCACTTTGTATGAGAGAGTGGCGGCGGCTACCTGCCTGCCCATTGCAGACTTCACAAAACAAGTGACGAATAAAATATGAGAGTAGCGTTAGGGGAGGGTTGTACACGTCAATATGTATGAAGTAACGGCACAAAAATGAGCGGCAAGCGCAATGAGGGCACTGATATTCAATATTCAGTTCCAGAAAGAATTAAGGATTTCAGATAAAAGTAAAACGGTTCTTTGGCAGATATCTTGAAAAATTTTGAAAATGATTTTTTGCATAGTAGTGCCCTTATTTATTCTCTTGTGCACATGGCTGTAACATTTCCGTTAGCAAATCATTATTGTCACAAGCATGTTTTCGAAAATATTCAGTGTTGCAGGAGCAATCCTCTCGTTGTAGAATATATTTGTAGGTGAGGAAAATCCATGGGATCCTTAAATTCGGCACCACTGTCTCCTCGGAAGCTACCACATTTTGTGGATTCTCATTGTCAGGTAAGTGTTCTGAACTCTATAAGTGTATTCAAACATATTTGGGCAAAATTGAACACGGCTGGTGCTTCTTGCTTTTCCGCAATAACATTCCATATTGCAATCTTACCAAATTTTTGAACAAAACAACATATCAATTCAATCCTGACTTTTGGCTTCGAAACACGAAAGCTGCTGCGTGAAATGTTTAAACTTGGAATCGAGAAGTAAAACCATATTCATGCGGGGCCCAAAACCGTTGAATGTCCCCATTTATCAATAAACTGCTCGTCAACACTTTGCTAAAGTTTCAGTACGTAACAATAATGATATTCTTAGATACCGTAACAGTAGCTACACTTTTCGTTTTTAACCCTACTGCTTACCTTCATTAACTAGTATAATCATCGGAAATTGGGACCAAGCATTTGTTTTTTCGTGTTCGAGTTTTAGACGGTGGCAGTAACGCCGGTACGCAAGACATCTGCGTGTTCTGTACAAGGTTTACCGTCTATGTTCGACGAAAGAGCTCAACCTGCATCACCAAAACACTTTGAAGTGGCTATACAGCTTGTAAAGGCTCGCACAACTCAGTCATTCTGTCAAAATATTTATCTTATTCAATCATTTGTATTTCTAGGTCAACTACCACAGCGATGATGCGTCGACGCAGTGCGACCTGTACAAGTTGCACAAAAGAGAGTAGGTATCTTATTGCTTGAAAAAAAAACTAAATCTTTTTACCCTTGTTGGTCCATCATTTTGGGAAAACAAAGTGAACAACTCTCAGTTCTTATGATGACGGCTTAGACTTGTAGCAAAGATCCAGAAAAGAGTCAACGAAAATATCTCGGGCTAGAGGTGGAACCTTCTTGAAAATTAATATTTCAAGATGCACTAGCTCCAAAATTGAGAGGCAAGAGTGCTCCTCCGTCTGTTTGAGTGATGTACGTTATTTCTAACGCATTCAGAATTCCGAAATTTCGCGAGAAATTTTGTGCAGATAGCTACAATTTTTTTCAGAACAAAAATCTCCTCTTGGTGGGCACATATTTGCGTGCATTACACGGGACTGCAGGGGTATGAAACAAGGTCATCGATATTTTACAATGTTTTTTACAAACTATCCAATTCGGTGCATGCCCCAGCCCTGATAACATGTGACCTCCCTTCCTTTGCTAGCCTTTATCCACTTTTTACTTATGACGATTTGCAATAAACAGTTCCCACGCAAGGACACGATCCGCCCACTCTGGGCGGGCTTCCACTCAGTTCAGGTGCTAGGGGCACCTCAAATATTGCTCTCCTTGATTAATCTTTCTACTCCACAGGCTTTTTCCAAATCGAATAATGAGTTTTTTCCATCTGGCATCGCCTGTTTAGAGAACGCCCGTCCACGAGCACGTCCCCCTTTTTCGACTTACCAGCTCAGTACACATTTTCACCAATTTTCTCGGTCTCAGGCTGTCCTGTAACCGAACTCAAACCTTTGGCTCCACTCAATTCTGTGCGTGACCCGGGTGCATGCGTCTTCGCCTATGCCCCTACATCACAAACTTACCGAACCCTGTAGATTGTTCTCCATGTCGTGATATAGTATCGCATTTCGGGCAAACGGACAAACGGACACCAGAAAGACTGATACTATTATACATATGTGGCAAAAATTTTTTATTCCTGATTTGTCTTGAAAGAGAACAGGGATGCATATTTGACATATACCTAATAAACAACCCCTGGCTGCTTTGCTTTTGGTCGTTTCAGTCATATGAATGGAGGAGAAATTGCATGAATGACACTTCGTAGTTTGCGTTGGACAATAGATTCCAATTCAATCATTTCCTTCTTTTTAATTCTGAAATGTGCGCTTTGGCCTCTGACAGCATCTGTTATCAGTAGAGTCGTAATGAATAAAAAGAAAGCTTTTCCCCTGAGACGAAAATAATATTCGTGATTCATTTTCACATTATTATTGAAAAAAAACATCTGAATTAGTGGGCGCCACCACGCTCGAGCATCAGCCAGGCTCGAGCCATATAAAAGTTCTGAACGCTACCGAAATCCCTAATGTCAACCCCACTCACCTCGGTCTACGGCTCGCCAACCCCAAAACAATATGCTTTGTCTTCTTCGTTGCCCAGGATAGCATTAAGGTTCTTGCATACGTATATGAAAGTATTGGTGCGTAATGGGCCGGCAGTGAAGAAAAAAGGAAAGAATCCGTCGAAAACGCTCAGGTTGAGGGCTCACTCACCTTCCTAATTGGCTGTGCTAGAGGAATGAGAGACTAAGCGCGGAGAGGAGAGTATGAGGCGAGAGAGCGCATCAGATGAGAAGGCGGAGCAACAACTTGTTGTGGAAGGAAGCATTGAAGTCCCTTCAGTTAACTTTGCAAGGCCCTAGCACTCTTATTGGACGATTTCCATGCACGAGAGTGTCATATCTGTGTGTATCTCAAGGGTGTTATCATGCAGAACTAATCAAGTCATTCACCCAACTTCTGACTGACAAGTGAGTTGTGCCTCAGAGATCAGTAGCTTCTCATGCCTGTTCCTTCATGAATAGGACCTAGGCCTATAACTTATAAGCCGATAAGACTTCAAAAAATCTTTGAGAATCCTTCAAGAAAGTCATAGCGCATATGCTGTATATTGCCATATCTTTGCCTAAATGTGACATTAACATATACTCAAATTCACGAGCCCTCCAAATATTGATCTGTAAAAGGTCGTAAGTTCGAAGGTATAGCATATGAAAATGGTGAGAAGACTCTCCGACGATTTAGTAGAACATGAGAGGGGAAAGGGACGCGGAGAGGAGGGTACGCCGTCATGACCTCATTTAACGCATACGGGCAATGCACCAGCATGCTTCTCACGTTTGTTACTTAATACCTACTGGTAAGCAGTCGTGCAGCGCACTTTTTCATCGACACTTCAGTGCTTCTGGTAGCTGTGCATCTCTTTTTGAATTCCTTTCACTGTGTCGCCAGATTTTCGTAACCGGCACTGTTTTTTCTGCTGTGTTTTGATTGCAACTTCATTCAGGCTGATATCCACAGCGGTACAACCAGATGTTTCGCAAATAAGTATGGTCGACGAGGAAAATGAAGCAATTCTGCTCGGAAAACCTCAGTGGAATGAAGTCTCCGAAAGCAGCGCTGAGGAAGTAGCGCTTCAATCAAAGGAAATCCCAATGGAGTTGCGGTACATGCGAAGCGTTGGCGAGCAGGCAAATAACATTTTGTACGGGATTAGGTATTTTACTCTCAATATTTTCATGTGTTTAGACAGATCATGAGGATCCTACGCAACCAGCACATCGAATGATTGAGGTAATATGTTTTATTGCTTGAAGTTGTCGCAAGAATGCGGGTTGTGAAAAAAGAACATACAAAAGTGCCTCAGATAGGAATCAAACCTGCATCTCCTGCTTCCGAGCAACTGTTACCGAATACACCATCAGGATCACCACCATATTATTGCACTTTTGCTTCACTCTAGTCTTGCTGTTGGTGCTATATTTACAACAGCTCCTCAGCACTCACATGTTACTTGAAATTATACGGGCTGAACTCGATAACTGATTGTCGGAACTCTATTCACGGGAATGGCCAAACACGATTCAAAAGGATTGCTGCGCCAGCAATTTAAACAAGCACTACTCATGCTTTGATTGATCCCATAGAACAGCTCACCGGCGGCGCGGACGCGTTCGCCTGTCTGGCGACGCTTTGATGTCAAGAGCATTGGCGAGAAACCGGCAAGGGCCTCGTTTCCCGCCAATACTTCAATACATTATGGCGAGCATCTGTCGTACTCTAACTTCATTTGTAGTAATTAGTGGTGTACGACTCAGAGGGGTAAACTTCAGCTTAATTGTGCGCCCCAAAGTTCACATAAAATCGTTGACTTCCTTTATTGGATTACTGATCACGTTAACTGGAACAATACACACTTAAAAATTCCTATCATCTGGCGCCAAGATAATGCGTGACATAACCATTTCATTTCCCGTACACTGCTTGCTTAACACATTGACGACAGCGCAGGTTTTGGCGTTTCCGCCACATAGGACACTGAGCGGGCGCCATTTGCCTGACGCGCAAGCGCGTCAGCTTGTCCCACGAGGTGCGTTTTTCGGAACTCAAAACTGAAAAGTGGCAAAACAAGGGTACAACGCTAATTGGGGGAGGGCTTCCGGTGAAGACGCGCGCTGCTTGTCTCTACCCTCTCAGCGAAATACTAGTGATGACATCAATGCAGAATAAGGAATCCATGAGTCTGGGGAGTATAGCCAGCTCGGGGGATGGGGAGAGAGGAGGGTCGGGCGATTCGAATGACATGCGTGGAAAGCTGGAATGTGCGCTCACACTATCTCTCTGGATAGACTCTAAGAAAGTGGTCGAGTCACTGCTGAACTCAGTCACTGTGAGCGTGAATTATGCTCAATTAAGAAAGAAAAAACCATTATAAACGAAATAATTAAAATGGTTCGTTTCGCTCCTTCCTCAGACGAACCTTATTATTTCGTCAATCCCCGGAGCTCATCAGTGAGTTGGGATTGGCGAAATAAAGACACAGGGGAAAGACGAATAAACCTTGAACTAACGTACAAATTTATCTTGTTCGAGCCAGTTGCTCCCCACGCGACAGAGATCAGAATAAGTAAAGCTTCGTAGGGAAGTTACGAAGTGTTCAGAATGTTACGCAACTACGTGTATATGTGTACTGTACATGTGAAGAGCAATAATCTCTTTGCGGCTTTAAGAAAAGGGTTAAACGCGCCGCGGAAGACGTAGAAAATTCCTTTGTACTATGCTTATATTCCTTTGTACTGCTTCAATGAAAAACATAAGTCAAATCATCCATAGAACCGTCAATTCCTTGACATTATGTATCACATTGTTGTTTGCATTTATATTTTTTGTGCTTGTTTACCCCAAAATAGTAGTCGAAGATTGAACTAAACGGAAAATTTAGTGAGGTTCAGAAAACCTTCGCTTAACTAAAGCATATTCAACCGCTTCATGGACCACACCGTTTACAGGCATGATGATGTATTGTCTATATAACAGTAATAAAAAATTTCGGAAGAAGTTGGACATGAAAAAATTGCACCAAGTGCCGACGCATGCGCGTAGGAATGTCCAACGCGGTGCCAAATGTCTGACGCGCTTGCTCGTCAGCATGTCGTCAACGCGTCAATTTACAATTAGTGAAGCGCCGGGAACTTCGTTCTTGTTCTAGCGACGTGTCAGCAGCCACGTTTCGTCGCTCCTGCAGCGGCTGTGATGTCACCACATGCGCTCGCGACCCTGAATACATCGCCTTTACACAAACAGACTAGTTGTGGTATA